ACTGTGCACTGCTAGTATTATCACACTGTGCACTGCTAGTATTATCAGACTGTACACTGCTAGTATTATCACACTGTACATTGCTAGTATTATCAGACTGTGCACTGCTAGTATTATCACACTGTGCATTGCTAGTATTATCACACTGTACACTGCTAGTATTATCGCACTGTGTACTGCTAGTATTATCACACTGTACACTGCTAGTATTATCACACTGTGCACTGCTAGTATTATCAGACTGTACACTGCTAGTATTATCACACTGTACATTGCTAGTATTATCAGACTGTGCACTGCTAGTATTATCGCACTGTACATTGCTAGTATTATCAGACTGTACACTGCTAGTATTATCACACTGTGCACTGCTAGTATTATCACACTGTACACTGCTAGTATTATCACACTGTGCACTGCTAGTATTATCACACTGTGCACTGCTAGTATTATCAGACTGTACACTGCTAGTATTATCAGACTGTGCACTGCTAGTATTATCAGACTGTACACTGCTAGTATTATCAGACTTGCACTGCTAGTATTATCACACTGTGCACTGCTAGTATTATCACACTATCACACTGTGCACTGCTAGTATTATCAGACTGTACACTGCTAGTATTATCAGACTGTACACTGCTAGCATTATCAGACTGTACACTGCTAGTATTATCAGACTGTGCACTGCTAGTATTATCACACTGTGCACTGCTAGTATTATCACACTGTGCACTGCTAGTATTATCACACTGTACACTGCTAGTATTATCACACTGTACACTGCTAGTATTATCAGACTGTACACTGCATCATTAGTGTCCAAAACTATGGCACAGGAATCAGTGGCTGGTCCATCCAGGGTGATTCTTTGCAGAACCAAACACACTCCTAAAGTGCCTTGCACAGACAAGTCAAAAGTGCTAAGGAATATGGGCCAACACTGCCGTCAGAGAGTCGTATGATGATGGACTTCTTTGTATAGCCATTCCCCTGGACCATGTCATCTAGTATTGAAACAGTGACAACATACCAATACCAATAGAAGACTACTGGTTGATACCAGGGAAACAGAGAGAGATAGAGAAAGATATACACAGAGAGAGAGAGGAGTGAGTGCTACAGGCTCAGGAAAAATAAGTTTAAAATTCTGGAAATGTAGGAATATATGAAGTCTTATTGGATAGATAAGAATAAAAGGTGATCATATCAATACCCATAGGCCAAAAAGAATAAATATTTGAGAAGTAGACATGTGTAATATGATTTAAATATAACCCAATATATTATTATTATTGTGTCACTAAAAGGTATTTTATTTACTGCTTTAAATGTGACACAATATAATATTAGTATATCACTATATGTATATTTATATTTACTAATTTAAAATACATTTTAATTTCAGTAATAACCAGTTTAATCCCTCTAGGCAGCTTAATTGGTTCTTCCTTAGGATAGCAAAGTGGAAAATAGTAAATATTCTCACGTGGGGAGGTCTCCAAAGCTTTCAATTGTGAAATTCTCTCCAGAAATCCAAATATTAGTAGCCTCTAAAATCTCAACACCATATCATTTTAGAAGGGATACTGTGCATGCCATACTCTTTGGAAGTCATTTATTCATCTGGATGATAGTCATTGTAAGTACACTCAGGCCTCTGACCTGAGGATTTGCAGTGAGCCTTCATCTATGGTCAGGGAAAGTTTCAGAGACAAAAAAAAAATCACAACTTGTAAATAATAAAGCCTTCAGGAGTTATTTTACTTTTTTAAGAAGAGACAATATATATTTCATTATTTTATTTCAGAAGCAGAACTTTAACACATGGGAAAACTATAATGAAAATGAAGGGCATAAAAAGAGAAGTAACGTTCGTGGTTACCCCTGAGAAGGAAGAAGCAGATATTATTGGACTCATATTATTAATAGTAGTTAAATTATTCCCTGTGTACACTTTTTGTATAATGCATTTTATTATTAAAGTATTCAGATAATTAAATTCTCAAATACATAGGAAAAATTACTCTAGCTATCTCCAGGATTTTTTTCTTTCCATGCATTTTTATTGTTGTTATAAAGGTGATGTACAGAGGGGTTACAGCTACATAAGTCAGATAAAGAGTACATTTTTTTAGTAGGTTTAGTTATATTTCTACTAAGTAGATCAGTTGCAGTAATAAGACAGAGGACTCTTTAGAGATGAGTCTGTTCCTGGGGTCAGAACACATTCATTTGTTCTTTTTTAAAAATAAATTTACTTTATTGTTATTATAGAGGTAGTGTATAGAGGGATTCCAAGTACAAAAGTCAAGTAATGATTCTATTCCCTTTCAAACAGTGTCTTCTGTTCCCTTGCTCTCTCCCAGACCCTCCCTCCCAGCCTCCCACCCGTCCCCACCCATAAATTGTATGGAACAAAGGGTAAACAAATACAGCAGTGGTACTCACCAGACACTATGGTTGATTGTGAGTTATTTTATAAGCCTCTATGCTCCATTACTTACAGAGGCAATCTTCAAATTATGTGAGATAGGGTAATCTCGTCACATTTATCTTAAAAATTAGGATAATCCAAGTGCTTCTGCCAAGTGTACAGAAAGAATTGATGTGAGATTTGGAAGTTGACCCATGTTGATGTTTTTCCCTTTCCATTTAATTCTGCCACACAGATGTTGTGAGATCATTTGCCCTGTCACGAAGGGGGAGCTCCGCCAGTAGAACGTACGAGGCATTCTGTGCCTAACTTTACAACTTCAGATGCGTCATTCTGGATTGATCATTCTTTCTCTTGAAGTAAACAGGGAGAATGCTATATTCCATGAACACTTATATGAGAAGCCTAGCTCATGCCACAGAAGTGTGCCGTGGAAAAGAGAATGCTTTCAAAGCCATGCTAAAGCCATGAGCCAACAAATGTGAGTCCAGGTATTCGTAAGTGTCAAAATACCTATGGTAAGAATTTTAGTGATTCATAAATATTGTTTCCACCCCCCAAGAAAAAAAAAAACTAAGATCAATGATGTTTTAACTAGGTGATTATCTTGTTCATAATCTCTGCATCTCATTCAAGATAGAAAACAATTGCACACAAATAAATTCCAGTAAAACTAACACAACTAACAACTGTTTGCTTGTTTAAATCTACTAATATTTGGGAGAAGAAATGGTTGAGTGGAGATTTACTTCATAAATTCATAAATTTCTGATAAAGAACATTTAAAGCTATGGATAAAGAGATTCATCTCCCCCCAAAAAAATCACTTGAGTGAATTTAACCTTTTCAATTTCAAAAGGTTCCTGAAAGAGCTAAAATGAAACTCCTAAACTCCATTTCATCACATTAGCCATTATTTCACACTGGAAAGTGTCTTTAATTCTTTTTTTGGGGGGGGGAGGTTCAGTCGTGGGACCTGAACTCTGGGCTTGAGCGCTGTCCCTCAGCTCTTCAGCTCAAGGCTAGAGCTCTACCACTTGAGCCACAGCGCCACTTCCGGCTTTTTTTTTTGCTTATGTGGTGCTGAGGAATCGAACCCAGGGCCTCAGGCATGCAAGGCAAGCACTCTACCACTGAGCCACCTTCCCAGCCCTGTCTTTAATTCTTGAATGTAAATTTTGCTCACAACTCACCTAATTCTAGAACATTAGCTTCTCAAATACTGAGTTTTCTTAATAATAAAATAATAATAATTCTGTCTACTTTATATTCACTTCATACACATACTAACAACACACAGTTTATTTACATATAAGTCCAATATCATTGTTTATAAAGGACTGTATATACTAACAGTGTATGTGTGTATGTGTGTTAAGATTAGAAAGCAAAATGTCTTTATAGGAATGGCTCATGAATTGAAGTTGCAAAAGCTTATGAGAAAAATGGTGGGAAATGTGAGTTGGGTTTATAGGGATATCTTTCCAAAGTTTTCAGTTAAAATAAAAGAATTTAAATAGTGTTGCTACATGAGAACAGGTTCCAATAAAATTTATTATAAAAGTGGGAATTTCCATCAAAACAAATCTGTAAACTAAAGACAGTCCATCAAGTTCAACCAACATTCAAAGTGTGGTCTCTGTGATCTGATGATGCCTGATTAAGTAATACGAGAAAGAATCAGATTTAAAGACCATAGGATCATTCCTTCCAAACTTAAATATAGATGGCAAGGAAGAAGTATTTTGACCATTTCAGTAAATATGTATATGTGTGGTAATGATAAACATGTGGTAGTAAGGAAAAGTTGAAATACAATTCAGAGCTTATTAATTCACTTGGGACAGTTTTGTCATTGAAAGAGGAATGTCTTTACTCTTCTGCATTTCTTCTTCTTTTACCTCAAAGACAAGAAAATATATATTAAACAACAGGGCATCACCCAGAATCAACTACTCCTTTAGTTCACTGTGAAATTCCAAACATCAAGTTTGAATCAAAGGAGTAATTATAAATTCTGTTAAATTCAACTTGAATACAACTTAAACCCGGAGATTTAGGAACAACATGGGTGGAAAATTGGCATGTGTTTGGGGCAGACATTGCTATTTAATAAATATGCAAGTATGACTCAATTATTCAAGTTTTTCTGTCTTACACTTTTCCTGATGGTAACAGCCAAGCAAACTTAGAATATTGAGTAGAGTGGCAATTACGCAATGAAACTATAACCATTTTTAAGAGGTGAGCAACAGCAAATATCATCTGGACAAGTGAACTAGAAGCTAGATATGGGTAGGCAAATCATTGTCACCCAGTTACATAATTGTCCACATCTCAGTTAACAGACATATAAAAATGTATATTGTGTAGATGATCTTTTCAATGACTAGATTCAACAGTATATTCTGAAGCAGCCTATTCTGATTCCATGAAACCTTGAAATGCAAGTTATGACTTCTGTGAGAGAATACATCTCATATTTTACAATTTCAGTTCAATCTTGTAATTGTTCTATTCCTTTTGTGTTATGGTTGCAGATCATCTGGAGAGTCTTGGATCAATGATATTGATGGAGAACAGGACAGATGTGACACATTTCATCCTGCTGGGGCTGACCAGTGACCCAGACCTGCAGATCCCACTCTTTGTAACTTTCTTCTTGATCTACATCATCACGTTGGTTGGGAACCTGGGGATGGTCCTCCTGATTCTCTTGGACTCTCGTCTCCACACCCCCATGTATTTCTTCCTTGGTAATCTGTCTCTGGTGGACTTTTGCTACTCTTCAGCTGTCACCCCTAAGGTCATGGCTGGGCTCCTCATGGGAGACAAGGTCATCTCCTACAATGCTTGTGCTGCTCAGGTGTTCTTCTTTTCAGGCTTTGCTACTGTGGAAAATTACCTGTTGGCCTCCATGGCCTACGATCGTTATGCAGCAGTGTGTAAACCCCTCCATTATACCACCACCATGACAACGAATGTGTGTACTTGGCTGATCATAAGCTCTTACCTCATTAGTTTCCTGAATGCCTCCATCCACACTGGGGACACATTCAGCCTCTCTTTCTGTAAGTCCAATGTGGTCCATCACTTTTTCTGTGAAATTCCCGCCGTCATGGTTCTCTCTTGCTCTGACAGATACATTAGTGAGCTCATTCTTGTCTATGTAGTGACCTTCAATATATTTCTTGCTCTCCTTGTTATCTGTATATCCTACATGTTCATTTTTATTACCCTTCTAAAGATGGACTCAGCCTTGGGACACCGGAAAGCTGTGTCCACCTGTGCCTCCCACCTCACTGCGGTCTCCATTTTCTACGGGACTGTTATCTTCATGTACTTACAGCCCAGCGTGGCTCACTCCGACACAGACAAAATTGCGTCTGTATTTTACGCCACCGTCATCCCTATGCTGAACCCTGTGGTCTACAGCCTGAGGAACAAGGAAGTTAAGTGTGCATTTTTAAATCTCAAGAATGCATTCATTTTGTGGATGCAACAGAAATCTTTAGGATTATGGCTTTAATTTTCTAGGATGTTAATTACTTCATGTGTAACTTGATATTTTCCACATACAGAGTTATATTTGATGTCTGCACTGAAGTTAAGAGGTTTTGTTAAGTTATTTACTAGTTGGTATCCATTAGTTGTACAGGGGGTGGGGGTGACTGTGGCATTTCCATATATGAATATTATATGGCTCCTCAACCTCATCCCCTCTAATACTGTCTTCATCTCTTCCTAAGACAAGTTAACAACGTACATCGTTCCGTTTCCATATGTGTGTATAACGTGCTTCAATTATATTCACCATCATTTCCATCCATTCACCTTCTCTACCCTGATACCCTCCCCTCAACTTAGCTACTCCACTCTGCTGCCATTTGTTTATTTAAGTGTAAATCAATTGTACTAAACAATTTCACCATGGTACTGTGCATGGACATCCATTGTGTTTTATTCAGAATATGCCCTTCTCTTGTTCTCTCTTACCCCATCCTCCTCCATTCAATTTTCCTTTCAGCAAATGCTTTCCAGTTATAATGCTGGCCATTCATTTTTTGTTTTGTTGAGTTGTCTTTGTTGTCACCCAACTCTGCACCCCACCCACCAGACTTCTACCCTTTCTCACTAATTTCCTGACATTTCTTCAGAGCACCAACCATACTTGTGAGATTGAGCCTCTGCATTTCTCTGGGGAAAATGCTGTCACTCCATTCAGGTCTTTCTTTTTCTTTGACCCTGTCACAGAGTCTTTGTTAATGCTTTTCCATCTGCATGTGATTGTTATTTCTTATAGATTTTTTGATCAACCTTTACTTACAATGTGTTTGTATCTCTTTTTTGTTTACCTGTTTCTGCCCAAACAAGAATGTGAATACCACAAAAGTAGTGACACTACATGTTTTCTCACATCAATTCCGGAATAAATGTTTCATCATAGACGCTGCATATATATTTGATAAATAAATGAATAAAATAAGTACATGTTAATTGTTGAAAAGCAATCATTCTGATAGGTATTCATGCATAATAAAATCAATTTCACATTCAGCATTCAATCTATCACAAGACACAGACTGGATTTGCTAGAGTATTTTTGTCTACATTGCCACTCAAATTTCACTCTCACTTGAGGACAAAATAATTTCCTAAATATCCCATCACCATGGAACATTTCAAACTTCCTCATACTTTTAAAGGGAAGTAATGTCTCATCAAGTGGCTAGTAGCACAATGGGTATTATTTCATACTTCACAATAAAGCAATGAATATGAAAATATTGAGAGGATTCATGTCTGGTTATATTTCAGAAATTATAATTTACACATAAAATTATAAAATTAACTGAAATGCCAAGTTTCCTGTACAATGTAAGCATGGCATTATTTGTCAGAAGAAACACAAGATACACTTACATTAATAATATGAACCATAATATTCATGGTTTACTTTTGGATTTCAGGAATTCAAAAATATTTCTCCTTAAAGAAATACATGCCATGTGAAATTTGTTAACTCTGAAATAATGCTTTCTGAAGTGGTTGGACAAGTTTGCATCCCACCAGAAGTGTAATAGCCTTCCCTTTTGGCCACATCCCCACCATCATCTGTTATTGTTAGTTTTCTTGATAATGGCTTGTCTAACGGGGGGTGAGGTGGAATCTCAATGTGGTTTTGATTTGCATTTCTTTCATGACCAGAGATGATGAACACTGCTTCATGTGTCTATTGGCCATTCTTATTTCTTCTTTGGAGAAGTCTCTCTTTCAGTCTTCAGGCCATTTATCAATTTGGTTGATGTTTTTTGGGGGGATTATTTTATTGAGGTTTAATTTTTTGAGCTCTAAGTATATTTTAGATATGATGCACATGTGATAAAGATCTCCCATTCTAGGGCTTTATATTTATCTTGCTAACTATGTCCTCTGCCATGCAGAAACTCTTCAGTTTGATACAATACCATTTATTCAGTCTTACTTTGATTTCTTGTGATTCTGGATCTTTACTTAGGAAGTTTTGCCCATGCCTAGGAGCTGCAGTTTTATTTAAATATTTTTAAAATACTCCACCATTTGTTGCATCTAAGAAATGTACCTCACTGTCAAAAACACAGGCTAAAAGTGAAAGAATAAAAAAATAAGCCCATTCAATGGCACCCCAAAGCAAAGTGCACATTTATATTTATATTTCACAAAGCCAATTTGAAACCAAATATTTTCTTTAGAAAATGGCAAGAATGGCAATAATCCTTCAAAGGTAGAAAGCAACTGTAAAAATATACATCTATGGCTTGACACACTGGATTTCATAAAACACTACTGGACAGATAGACACAACACAATAATAGTGTGTGATTCAATATTCAGCCCATAGTTTGAGGAGAACTGGTGTTAGTTCTTGCTTAAATGTATGATATAATTTGGCTGAGAATCCATTAACTCCACAGGTCTTCTTTGTTGTGAGATCCATTATTACTGCTTCTGTTTCATTGATCAGTATAGATCTGTTAAGTGACTGATATCTATCTTCTCCAGTCAATTTGGATAGATTATATCTGTCCAGAAATTTGTGCATTTCTCCTAGATTTTTCAGTTTATTAGAATAGGTGTTTTTGAAGTATTGCACCATGATCTCCTAAATTTTATTGGCATTTATTGTGTTATCCCCTATTTACCTCCAATTGTATTAATCTGGGTCTTCCTCCTTCTTTCGCTTAATTTTACCAAAGTTGTATTTTCATCCATACTTCATTTTTTTCTTTATCTGTGTATTCTATTTACAACCTCTGATTTTGTCACCAATTTAATCCATTGCGACAGAGTGTGCAGAGACTCCGTAGGTAATCGCTCTTCCCTGGTTTTTAATGTTCCCCAAATAGCTCAGTCCTAAATCCAGACCTTCAGAAAAAAAATGTATTCAGTAGTGAGATTTTAGTATTGAGATACTTGTCAATCATAGCGTCATTTCTCTGCTTTCTCTATCTTGTCTGAAGGGTGAGACCACTGTACACTCACGGTTCTTTTTCCAAGCTAACAGTTGCTAAAGCTTCTCAGCTGCTCCCTGTCAGACAGTCTTCCTTCCCATGGCCACTTCCTGTGGCTTTCTAATGAGTGGATTTCCCATGACTCCCTAACTCATGAAGGCTCCTTGTTTTCAAGGTCAACAAGTAGCTCAATTCCAAAATGGCACCTTGCTATGGCTCTCTGAGGTATGAGGAGTGAAAAAAAAGTCTTTCATGACCATATTAGCCTGTCTGCAAGTCAGATATGAAAACTACCGAGTTTACCTCATGGTGGAGGTTTTGGTTTTCCCTCCTCCTGGGAAAGCAGAAGACAGAAGTGCAGACTTCCCACTTTACTCTGTTACATTTCAGTGTCTCTGTACTTGTCCTATTTTCATTGTTCCTATTGCTCTTCTGCTGTGTCTGCCACAGTCTCTGTACTGGTACCTCAAATTCTCATTTACCTAGGCTGATAGATAAAACCATGTCTCAAGTTGGTTGTTTCTTGCAATAAGTTATTTTTTATAAGCTTTGCTTCCCTTGTATGCAACTTGATTAAAACTTGTTTGGAGGTATTTATCTTTATCCTTCTTGACTTTGTTAAACTTACTGGAAATAAGGTTACTTTCACAAAATTTGCAGTATTGGACATGCTCATTCAAAATTTATTTGCATTTTGGACATGATCATTCAAAAATTATCCTTACCCTTACTAGTATTTCATTGCTCCTTCAGATATTCCTATTATGCCTGTGTAATTATACATGGTGGCAAGCAATATGTCTCACAGGCTCTGTTTTCTGGTTTTGGGGGGTTTGTTTTTGCCAGTCCTGGGCCTTGAACTCAGGCCCTAGGCACTGACCCTGAGCTTTTGCTCAAAGATAGCACTCTACTACTTGAGCCACAGCAATACTTGTGGACTTTTCTGATTATGTGGTACTAAGGACTTGAACCCAGGACTTCATACATGCTAGGCAAGCACTCTACCACTAAGCCACATTCCCATCCCAGAGGCTCTGTTTTAAAAATAATTGTTCTTTTTTTTCTTTTGAGCTCCTCATTCAAAATTACTGCAATATTACTACTGCAATTACCTTCAAGTTCATGGATTGTTTCTTTTCCCTACTTGTCAGTTGTTAAAACCCTCTTGTAAATTTCTGATTTCACAGAGCTTTCCTATATAGCTCGTTTTTATCTCCTTGGAAGTACTAATTTCCTTGGTTTTTTTAGTTATATTTCTAACAACAGTTCCTCACTCTCTTTGGTTATATTTATATCCATAGACTTTGAATAGTTAACTATTAGGCAAAGGTTTAGGTTTTTCATTTTTTCTAGCAATGACATATGCTTTCTTGTTGTTTACATATCTCTAACATTTTGCTGAAAGTTTGAAATTTTGAATTTAATCACAACTGTGATCCCATTGTCACGTAAGCTAATATTTACAGATATCAAGTCTCAAGTTCTGATTCAGTCATTATTTAGCCTCTAGTAGATTTGTTTCTCACTTATGCGTCTAAACATTCTCTACACAGGTGAGGTAGAGATGAGTGAAAGGCTTGATCTCGTGTGTCACTCTAAGATGCCTACTGATGAAGACCTCCCCATTTATAGACCCACTTTCTAGAACATTCATCCTAATGGTAAACATAGCAAGAGGGATGGAAACTTAAGATGGGCCAAGGGTCCTATCTTCAGGGGTGAAGGAAGAGGGGATCCTTGGCTGGCTCCGTCGCCTGCAGCTGAAGCCTGCTGATTCAGAATGAAAGACACAAGCCACTTCAAATCCACTGAAAGTCAGACTTCTGCATTGCCCTTGATCCGTCACCCTCTTGTAAGGCCTCCAAATGCAGCCTAGGCCTCCAACATCAATGATTTGACTCCACATACATAAAACCAGTGGGGAATAAAGCAAGAAGACTTGGTCTATGTTTCCCCTAGATAATTGGCCCTTGATTTCCCCTTATTTGTTTGCCTAGATGGTGTGCTTTTATTTAACACTTTTGTGAGGTCTACTTCC